TACTGAAACACTGAAAGGAAATGAGGAACATGAGAATATAAACAATATTAAGAAAACAATCTGAGCAGATCCTGTAACTACTTCTAGGGAATTAAATGCTATTCTAATGGAAGTTTCAGAAAGACTTTCTCAGACTAGTAAGATTAGGCCATATGCCAGACTCATAAAGAAAGTTGTAGAAGCAATGTGCATTTGGGACCAGACAGAGAAAATCAGCCAGGAAGCAGCTTTTTGGATGGACTTAGAAGACTCAACAGAATTTTGCATCTCAAAAATCAATATTTATAAAGGTAAATGCTTATAAATTTCTTCCTGGTGGAAAGCCAATAATTTGAGAGAAATGTGTATGCACTTTCATATACAACTCTGAAATAAAAACAAAGATGGAAACAATACAGCGGTATCAATCAATATACAATAACAATTTCAACTGTCAGGAATTGTGCAATGAAATAAAAATTTTAGTCTCTCTCTTCCCCTCAAAGTCTCATTAATGAAAAATTACAAAATATTGTTTTATAGGAAACATAGGAAAAATCTACGACTGAAATTGTCATCGATTCTATCAACTTAGCAACATTGTATTGACTTGAAATAACACTAGAAATTCAAAGCTTATCAGAACCACTGGTTCATCATCAAAAAGTTACTGCAAACAAATACATGTATTTAATGTCTTAAAAATAATAAAAAGACCCCACATTTCTTTGAGCATATATTTGTGTAAGGAGGATGGAAACTGCTGCAGTTCCATTTCACTGACCTCTATTAAAGAGCCAGCATACAGTAGTAGAGTGTTCCCAGTAAAGGGATGTCTCATTGGACCTAAAAAACAGCTAACCATCGTAATCACGTCAGGTGAAATCTGCATTGCACTGGGAACTAATGCAATCTGCACTAACGGCAAAGCGCTGATTTGTCTCCGTCTGTCCAGAGGACAGTAATTTCACAAATCATCTTCTTTATACGAATAAACACTTTACTCCTCTTTACACTGGTCATTGAAAGCAGAAAACTCAATGAGAAGGTTATAATTCAATGAGAGTATCCTAAAAGAGTTCAAATAAATTGGATGTGAATTGAAGGTAACAACATCTTGCCTCAGACTGGTACCTTCTATTTCTTCACAGCCATTTCCACTATCCTCTTCTACAGGGTATAAAAAACCTACATTGTTTTATACTGTTTTTATTTTTGGAAAATTAATTTATGCTATATGTGGATTTTTCTTAAATGTCTTCTGAGCATTTCTGAGCACTTTATATGGATGGACCACTCCAAAGCCATATAAAACATTCAATGTCAAAAGGGAAAGCAAAGATAACAGCTGTAAATCTGTTAGAATGCTTAATATCAGTACTGCTTGGAGCACTCCGAAAAGGACTGGGTGTTTTTGAAATTGCAAATACATAAAATCATAGAATGTTTAGGTTGGAAGGGACCTTAAAGATCACAAGATCATCTAGTTCCATCAGAGGTAAAGAAGGCCAAAAGATGTAAATGAGGCCAATACACTGCTAGTTTTGTTGTTTTCAGTACAGTTCTATGTCAATGTTGATAAGTATCACCGTACCCATTATTATAAGGCTTTTGACCAAATAACACTGCAGAAAAGTAAGATACTAGTGTGTAACAGCAAAATCACAGTTGCAATGTTACCACATAACAACACGTTCCAACAGTTTTTAAATAAAATGACTTTTTTTTTCAAACAGTGATGTAGCTTTTTTGGATTATGCATTTTTACATTTATACATAATTGCAGCTGGTTTCAGGAGACTACCCTTAATAACAGCAATAATTACAAGTAAAACAAAGAAAGCAAAACTATTAATAATTTATGTTCACAAAATTCTCTCACTCTGAAGATCCTGAACAGACAGTAATTAATTTAGCCTCACAATACCCCTGTGAGGTAGGTAATTACTAGCAGCCCCATTTTACAGGTGGGGAAACTGAGGCACATACACGTTAAGTAACTCGCCCAAAGTCTCGGTACAGAATCCAGGTACCTGACAGCCATCTTCTGTTTCCTACCCACCAAATCACCTTTCCTAACACTAACAAATTTAACTGGTATGTACAAATACTGCATGTGTGTGTGCATGCATGTGCGACTAGCATTTGTGCATAGAAACAACTCTGTGTTTCTGCATACGCGTGTATCAGGACTTTAGATACATATAAAGGACAAAACGCTAAGATGTCATGTATGTAGTTCAAGAGATTCAAAACCTAGCACTAGTGGGACTTTTCATTTTAAGATAAACCAAGACACAATGAATGGGAAAATGGTAATGACATTTTCGCAGGTTTAAAATAATTTTAAAGTTATTCTTGCCAGGGAATCAAAGGCTTCCTTTATTATCTGCTGTGTATTATTAACACAGTTACGTCAATACTGACATCTCTTTAGAAAACAGTGGGTTTAGGACATGACAAAGAAACCTCACAGGAGTGCTGCATGAATCAAATTAATAAGCATTGAAAAACATTATTACAGGCACTACATTGTGCTAAGTGTTAATTAAGAGTACCAAGCAGCTAAATATTCTACACTGTTACAAAAGACTCCTGTTATCAGAGACACGAATCATCTGAATTAAATGTATAAAAGTAGCTGTTAAAGCATAAATTAGATGTGTGACCTAGTTCCGACAGTGTCCTTTGCCAATCAGACGAACCATAGGAGAATAACCTCAAGCTAGAACTTCCATCCCATCCCTTGACCATGAGGCTAATCTGCCACTCACCTGCCCTATACAAATAACTCGCTTCAGATTTATTTCACGGGAACAAGTAAGCTGTTTCATTCTCTGCTCCAGCTCATTTCTACTAGAAAAAGCATAAAGAGCGGGTGAGGAGGGAAAGCCTCTGGTGCAACGGTCCCAAGAGTTTCCAACACTCAGCACATTTTGTATTTGTACTTCTCTTCAAGAAATCCAGACTCAGATACATGTAACACCTTGGATTTCTACACAGCCTGGCATACAACAGTCAGTTAGAGCATTGCTTCTCCGTAAATCAGTTTGCATGGCACTCTACAACTAAATAGGCAGAAATTTTAGAACGATTTTTGAAATTATTTTCCTGAGCAGTTTGCAAGCGTTTTCCAGAATATTCACTTTTAACTTTTCCACCTAGTTCCTTACAGTAAGTTTATAATCTAGATTTTCTTGTGCTTTACACATACATCCTGTGGGGTTTGTGAGAGCCTACAGTACTACACTGAATTATTACATCCCAGTCCGCTGCATTTGATGACAATATGCTCTAGGATATTCACAGCTACATGGAAGAATTAATCCAACGCATATGATAATTTTAAGACAGTTCTTTTCTGGTTTACCAGCATTCATTATTTTCTGTTTGTTTATTCAGAAAGATGTGGTTAGCTATCTGTATCCTCAAGCAAGGTGGTGTGCGAGCTTGCCACTAGCATCAGTATGACATTCAGTGAGTAAAGAGCTATTTATTCTCTATCGAAGGCAAAAAGTGAAGAGATTATATAGGTTTCTGAGAGAAGCATCCTAATCCCAGGCAGCTGTGATGCATAGGATGCCAGATGTTTAAACTCATCACACCACAGTCCGTTTCCTATACGGCTCCATAAACCACAGGGAAAAGACCAGCAGGGTGTGGATTCACCGCACTGGTGTTCCCCAGGGATGCAGAGGTCAGGATTAGGAAACTCTGACCCAACTCACAAAAATGAGATTAGGAAACTCTGACCTGACTCACAAGCCTTTCTGCAGGCAGCTCCTCCAGAAGCCCCATTGATCTCCCTGCAGAAACAGGGGCCAGTGGTGGTAGGGATTGAGTGACACTCTATGGTGATGGAAAGGACACACGAACCCCTAAATCACAGCCCACAGCCCTCTGGATTGTCAAACCAATCCAAGTAGAAAAGGTCAGGTCAGAGCTTGCCCATCCCTGCCTACAAGGGCAAACAGTCAGGGAAAATCCCAAAGAAAGATGCGGGTGGGAAGGGAATGGCAGCATGCTACCCAGTCCTGCCTGGAGGAGAGCTCTGACCCACCTGGCACCTCTACCCTAACAGGAAATTTTAAAAAGTAACCATACAAAGAAAGTGACTTAGAAGAGGTATTTACACTCTCTGGAAATTTAAAAACAGACAGGCCACCAGCATGGGGTTTTATAGGATAACTCATCCGGCAGCTGCCATCATCTTAGAGGTGCTTGCTCAGGAGACAAAAGAGCAACTGAAAAGACTGTCTGCAAGTGAAGGCACCTGGTCTGGAAATAGCATCAAGCTGGTGTTTTTCTTTCATGGGGCGGGACTGGGGGAGATACACTAACAAGAGCATTATCCTATATTACGAGATACTTAATTAACACTTTACTTCCTTTAATCCACAGAAGGGCCTAAGCCCAAATTCATTAGATTGTCTCACACATATTTAAGTTAAGAGCTTGTATTTACTAGGAGTGCATTTGTCTCCTCGCTCAGTCCTCTCCCAGTACAGAAACACTTGGCTTCCTAAAAAAAAATGTCATCATGGTCAACAAACCACCTGTTCTGGTCTAGTTGCTTGTGTAAAAATCACCTTTTTTGGGCTAAAGAGTCCCAGACTTTCATTGAATACCTCAATTAAAAATATAATTAAAAAGTTACAGTCAATCCTTCTAAAAATAAACATAAAGAACTAGAGCATATATGGAAAAGAAATAAGGTGGCATTGAAGGTGCCTAGGGCTACAAATTTGCTACCATAGTTCTGAGTTTCAACCGTAATGAGCTCCCAGGCCATAGAGAGAACACAAGACGTATTATCCTTCTCCCTCGATAACTGATGATGGACGCTTTTTTCCACAGGACTGATAAGAAACCTCCTCTCCACCAGCATTTACAGCCATATTTGCAATTTTGTGATATCACCAGGGAAAAATAAAACAATACAGAGAACAGTCTTTCGGTTTCTGTGTTCAGCTGTAAATATCAGCTAACCAGGTAACTGTGCATCTCTCTGGAGTTGATGCTCAAAACCACGCCTGAGTGACTGCCTGTGAAAATATAGAAACAAAAGTCCAGCATTAGTGTATTTCAGGCACTTCACAATAAATCCCCCTTTTATGGCAAGGACAAGTCAATCGCATAGAGAGAGTGGCTTTATCAAACAACAGGTCAGGTGAAGGTTGGTGCAACAGCTCCATGTACCTACAAGCATACTCTCGCGCAAAGCTTTTGCTCATGGTGGTGGATTTGTGGTGAATTCCTAGGGTTTCTATCCCAGTGACAGCATAAGTTGGTTGTCTTTGTGGCTTAAAAAGGTGTAGTTGTCTCGAGGGGTGCAGGTGAAGGAGGAGAATGGAACCTGAGGCGTCCATTCGACATGCCACTGACCTGGGACTGGACACTGACCGGCATCAGCAATAAGGGAACTCTGTAGCTGTTCAAGTTGCCACTTCTCCCAGAAGGAGTCACTGCAAGGTAATGGTGTTGAGGAGTCCCAAGGTGGGGGTTGCGATAAAGTAGGCAACATAAAATATATAGAAAACAAAAAAAGTGGATGGGTGAGTCTGGAAATACTGTACTGTGGAAATTCAAAAGTTATGAGAAGAGAGAGAACAAACAGAAATCCAGGCCTGTAACTCCCTGCTGTGCACAGATCAGAGGCTGCTACTGCCATCTCCCAACAGGGAGGGAGAAAGCTCACCAGAACTAGAAGGGATCTCCATAGCATAGGAACCTTCTGCAAATAATGTTGTAAAACAGAATTTAACATAAAGCAGGGATTATAATATGTTTCATACTCTAGCCAGATAAAATAGAGGAATATCATTAACAGGAATATTTTCTTGGCAGTACTGAGCAATACCGGAGCTAGTGGAAAGTACTGCAAGTAACAAAACAGTGCAGCAAGCAGAAGCATAATTTTATGTTTTATATAAAGCCTTGTGACTAAAAGCTGTACAGTAGCTGACAAATATGGATGATTATGAGCTACAGAAATGAACTCTTTATGCTCTGCTGGAAGTGCTGCTGGTGTTGACAACCTGACAGAAGCACAAATCACCTCAAGATCTGCATTTGCTAACTTGCATGTCTTAAGTTTCACATCAAAACATCATGATCTTTCACTCTTTAACCCTAATAATGCTCTGCCCAGATAGAAGAGGGTTGTTTTGTGGTTTTTTTCCTCTGATTAAGGAGTGAAGGTCAAGTAGAGATTATTTCTGAATGGGTTACCAATCAGGGTAGCATTTCTTTATTCCAGCATCCCAAGCTGCCTTATATAAATAGGCCATAAGGGATTTTCTCCCATTAAAAGAACTTATGCTTTTGTACATTACTAGAGGTGTTTGAAGGCTCCATTTTAATAGGCATGTCTGCAAGGACTTTGTTAGCATTCAGCTGTCTCCTCTAAAGACCCCAGAGATAAGCTGATCAAACAATTTTAACATAGATGTTGTTTTTCCAGGGTTGTTTTTGGAACCAACTCCGGTAAAGTCAGGAGTACAACCAAGGTCATCTTGCAAAATCTGAATGAAAACACAGTGACACTCATACACAAAGGTTGTCGAAGAAAAGATAGAAATACACAAAGCAAAGCAAGAGGCTGGATTCTTCCCTTGCGCTCAAAGCTAACACCTCCAAGAACCTAGAAGCGGCACACAGTTCAGCAAATGAAAATAAAGACATTGACAACAAATGATAAAGGTGAAACCCAACATAAAGAAATCTTCCGTCTGCCAAAGTTCTGTCCTTCTCCAGGCTACCTCTGGTGCAGCTAAAACACATCATCTTCTGTGGGCTCACGAAGACATTACAGTTGCCTGTTATACCATGAACCTACTGCTACAAAATGGCTTTGGGTTATCTGGTTTATTTTCACAAAATGCGTAGAAATGGAACTGGGGAGCTTTTTCCATTGTCCTATACTTTTCAGACTGTGACCTGAAAGCAGTCTGAACACAACAGTAAATTTTACAAGAAGTGAACGTTATAGATCAGCACTCCATGTTACATTAAAAATAACCACAGGGTGCCAGGATATACACTTCCACCTGACACTGAGATCATTTGCACCGAGAGACATTCACAGAAAGTTTCTCTCATGGGTTCCTTATAACCACCCCATGAACAGTAGAAAGTTACCAGCTAAATTAGGGAAGACTTATGATACTTTTTATACAGGACTAAATGTAATGTTTCTAATAATGAAAATTTTAAATGCTACTGGAATGTGATGGCAAATATAGCAAAGGATCTAGATAGACTCCATCTGAAATCATGGAAAAATTGACTCTACAAATCCTTCTGGCCTAAATTCCACTTTCCACTAATTCAGGGGATTATTGAGGTAATTCAATCGTTACCTATTATATCCTGTTCTACCAAATACAATTTTTCTCTAAAATAGTCCAAGTAAGTCTCCTGACATTAAACTGCACTATCTCTGTACTCATGCTCCATATGACATGTCATCCATACATCAGCCTGTATCACCAGCAAGCCAAAAGAAGATAACTGAGATAATCCTTTGTTAGTGGTGTACTATTTGCTTCTTCCTGAGACTGAGCAGAAAATGAAAAAAAAAGCTAAAATGAAAACAAACATCAATTAAAAATCAATTACTTACAAAAATTTATAAACTAAAAATGAAGTTACCTCTTGCGTTACCTAGTGTTTGAGAGTCCAGATCATCATCAATAAACTCCTCACCCTGGATGATGTTCTGGGTGTCCTCACTATGATTAACAGGGCTTGTCATCTCCTGCTCTTTTTCGTTGTGCATCTGAGCGTAGACATTTCTGCCTGGCAGTTTCCTAAATTGGACAGGAAGAAAAAGTCTCGTGATGGAGCTCCTTTGTGTCATGCACATGTTGGCATCAGAGCAGAGCTACAGCAGAGCAAAGTCCTTCCAGAATCACAAAATAGCCCTGATCCCACCCTTCCTTAATTTTGTGTTCACATCAACCCCTTATTCTCAGTCACAGTTTTACGTAACTGCCTTATCACAATGTTCATGCCAACATAATAATTAAGCATCAATATCTGACTAAGACTGACAGACAATGAACAATACTGAAAAAAAAAATTTACTAAAACCACAGAGAAACTATTTTAAGAAGTCAAGCAATAAAAAGGCCCAGGAGCCCTTTCCTGGTTCCAGGTGTCTTCAGAAACATTAAGCTGGGTCACAATCATCATCGCATCTCTGTGAGCCTCCCTGGTGAGGTGGGCTGACACTGAAGGGTGACAGCATCAAATGGCACTCTCATACGCCAACAGGGTTGAGGAGAAAGAACCAGGAGAAATCCAGGAGACAGGGAATGGAAAGGGAGCAGAGTGAAGAACCAGGAGGCCAGGACCAAGGGGTAAGGAGGAAAGAGACAAGCAGGTAACGAAAAGGGAAAATTAGAAGACGGGAGGTTAGTGAAGTTAAGCAGGCAGCACTAAAGGAGACAAGAGTGTAAAGCTTGGCTCAGGAATACTGGGAACTGCTGAATTAGACAAAACTCTGTAGGAGACAGCATTCAATTAATTCATTCTGATTTGAATCTAGAAAAGCAAAAAGCATGTTGTTAAATGTCTCTAGAGCTCTAATGAACAATTAGCACCATAGCTGAGACTGGAAGGCTTAAGACAGTATTGATAAAGAGTTCTTAACTAGATTAATGTAAATTAGACTTTGTAAAATCAAAGGGAATAATCAGGGACTTCTAGCTTTACATCAGAATTTACGGTTTAAAGATTTCTTCAGAGCCATACCCTTTGCTGTAGCTGTGTTCACCTGCAATCTGCCCAGGCACATAAGGAGATCCTTTCCTAAGCATCAAGCAGACACTTCTGATGAGGGAGTTGCAGGTTCTGAGCTCCATTTCCTACACTGCAAGAAGCAGCTTGACAGCTTGATCAGCATGACAGCAGATCATGGCTGTCAAAGTCTGTGCTTAAACACAGATTATTGCAAAGGGCAGACAATCAGAAGAAAAGAGAAAATGGGCTTGAACTGCTGAGGTTAAGCTGTGGTTTCTGCCAAGCTCCTTTAGACAGTGAGAAAATAGAAAATGTGACACTAATTTTTAGGCATCTCTCTAAAAATTACTATCTTCTGCTCCATATTCTGGCAGCAGTTTGAAAGCTGGATAAATACACAGGTTGCTCTGTTTTCTCCGGGCTTTTGAAGATGACCTGTCTTTAAACGTCATTTCAGAAGGAAGGTTCTTTACCAGGTGGCACCATCTTAGTTTCAGTCAAAAATTACTGCAGCTAACTCTTTTGAACAGCACCTTTCACTGCATCAAAGGAATTAGAACAAACAGAAATTGCTAAACAATGAAAGATGATCAAGGAAGATCTCCTCCCTTTAATTTGAACTATCCAAGAGATGAATTGCATCCTATATACCTATGTATGTATACACACACGCGCATCTATATAGGTATGTGTATACACACATCCCCACCCCCACTCCCAAATTTTATATATATATATACATATACATACACACAGAAATCAGGTATTTTATCCCATTATTTATAAGCAGCACAACAAAAGAAATCTGACTGCTCTTTTCTCTATCTCAGTGCCCATGGAGTGAATAAAGCACAGGACTAACCAAGTGCAAAGGACAAGGATGGAAAGGTCTCATAGCACAACACTGTGCTATTTTGACCACTTCAACAGGTCCGAAGGCTCCTCCAACACAAACATACACACAAAGTCAAGCCCTGCATCACTCTCTTCCCATTAACTGGATGAAAAAAGTCACATTGAAAAGGGGAAGGACATTCCTCGTTACCAAAACAAATATGTTAGATAATTAATTTTGATCTTTTTCTCTAAGGCCAGTAACTGTTTTTAATGCGTCTGCTAATGAAACTGATCATGTGGAAAACAGTACCCCTCTCAATCAGACCTGCATCAAACCTGTCAAATTGCTCACTTTCAGTCCACCGCCAAATGCCTAAGGGAAACAAAACCCAAAAGAATGTCTTTGCAACACAGCTGCTTAATTAGCTCATACGTTTCTGCAACAATTAGGGGATCTTCTCAAAACCGTATTTCTGACAGATTGTAGAACCATTAATGGCATTATCAAAATATTTTTGACATAATACAAATGTCATCCATCTCAAACCCATATGGCACATCAGACCTTTGCAGTTAAGTAAAGGGAACCGAGCTGCTAGTCTAACTATGCCTGCCCAGGCTGAAGGACCTGTCTGAAACCAGGTCAACAAGGTGTATCTTTTGGTGTAAAGCCTGAGCCTTCAACTCATATCTCTGGTAAGACTAACTAGTTAGAGATCACCACAACTACAACACATACTATTAAACATGTAAGGGGTTCCTGAATAAAGAAACCTCCTAAGTAACCATTAAACGTATTGTTGTTACGAGCAGTTCTTTATGAGTTATAGATAAAAGAAGAAAAGTCATAAGTTTTTATTTCTCTCTCTCATCTAAACCTCATGAGCCCAGCCCTGTGAAATACAGATTCTTTAGTGAAGGTATAAAGTTGAGGTACTCAGTGACTCTTCCATACTTTCCGTTGCTCCTCACACTTATAGAGGAAAGCATCTTAGATTGTAACACAGACTATGGATGAGAGGAAGGAGAATATTATAGGTCTTGTGAAGGCATACACTGTAGGCATTTGACCTTTTACACATTATAGAGATCTCTGCGTGTTTCATATTGGTTCAGTTTTACAAGGAAAAGACTCAACCAGACTGAAGACAATGATAGCCCAAGCCTTTTCAAGAGGCATTTTTAATACATGTGCCAGATGTTCTGTTTATAAGAGACAACCACACTGCGGGATGAAACAAGATGTGGATACTGAATCCTTGCTAATGATGGGCCTGATTCTGGCAATTTTCCAGTCACTCCTCACTGCTCTAACATATAGGAAGGATGCTGCTACCCGTAATTATACAGAGAGAAACTCGTGTACCCTGATGTGCTTTTCTCTTCTTAAGGAAGCAATTTATGCTGAGTCCAATGTAACTGTTTGAAGTAGGCAGAGCTGAAATGCTTGGTTGTACACAAAAGACTACTGTGAAAACATGACAAGACATGGAATTTGACCCAAGAGATTTATATCAGCAATATGAAAATTGAAAGCACATTTATAGGAAAAAGAGAAAAAGATTATGCAATAATTTCTTTTGGGGGTTTACTCTTCAGCTGCAAAATGCATGTGCTGCGCATCCATCACTGGAGACAATTACCTCTGCTGAGCAGCGATCCATGGTTTACATTTTTAGTTCCCTTTGTTTTCTCTGTAGCATTTTATTTCAATTATGACAAAGAAGAAATATTCATTACTGCTTTGAGGACCATAAAAATATGAACTGGAGACTTAATTCTGCACAGAACTATGAATGAACATCCCAGCACATAGCTTTCACCAAGCTCTCCAGGTTCTACACCTTTTAGAACATATTCCAGAAAGTATTTTTTTTTCCTCCCTATATTCACAAATTCTAATCAGTTCATACCCCAAACTGTTTGCACTTAAAAATGTTCAGCAGTAAGGAACTGCAGGAGGGGGATGAGATATTGATTCCCACTCATTTAAACTCCCTAGTTTATGTGGCTTTCTGTTCCTTCCTTGTGGAGCCAATATTGCTTGGCCTTTATGCAACTTCATTTATTTTCCAGAGGCTTGATTAAGATTCTGTTTAGTATACAAAATAGGAACATATTCACATGGCAAAGGATATGGAATTATGTAGCATTCTCTTGGAACTTAAATAAAAATAACAACAATAATAATCCATTGAATTGAATACTTTATTGTGGTGTTGGCTTTATTATGTTTGGATTAATGTTCAGATGACTGACTTTGTGTTTAAGGCACTCCTGATTTACTTGCCTCTTTCATTTCAGAAATCTTTTCTACATGCTATTACCTGATTTCTGAGGAAGTTTTTATGAAATATTATGGATCATTAAATTAGTGCCTGTTTTTTTTATAACTAAATGGCATGGATTGGGACTAAGCTTGCTCTCATGGAACATAAAAGTAGTATAAGCAAGGTGTGGAAAAAAGATAGCTTTTCTTCAGAGACTGAAAATGAGACAGTAAGTCAATGAGGCAGAAAGATAACACAGTTCTGCTCCAGATTGTGGAAATGACCCAGGAGGGGGTTCATTTACCAAAAGTGGCACTTGATAGTAGTGGGGAAAAAAGTAATACACACAAAAAGGTGTCAATTTGGCTGAAGTAGATTCACAGCAATTTGTGAAAACCATGTATGCAGCTTTAAGTACACAGGCAGTAGTTTGCATACAAATTAAAGGACGAATATTTTCATACTCTTTCAGAGAACTGAATTTGCTACTATTAACCAGGTTAAATACCTAAGCAGAAAAGTCAACTATTTGCTCTGGTTTGGCTACTCTAACATCTTGTTGTTATACAGAAGTGAAAAATGAGAAAAGGATTATTTCAGATCTTCTACTAGTGACATGATGATTACATGGCAGCTTTGATGTGGCTAAAAGATAATTTTCTTTTCCTCCACTTTGCCTAGTGCAGACAGTGCTGTTTACCTTCTCTATACTGTTGCCCAGGATCTCACACCATACAATCTTGCTCTGAAAGGATGAAGAAATCTTTTCTGGATGGCAACTTGAAACCCACAAAAAGTACAAACAATTTCAAACAGAATGGAAGAAGTGTGTTTTTTACTGAAACAAATTTAGTAAAGATGGTATGGTATAGAAAAAAATATATGCAGGTCCCAGGTCTGCATTAAAAAAGAGACCTGATTTCTCTAAAATATTTTCCAGCTGCTTCATATTGTTCTGG